TTTCGAAGAGAAGATACGCGTTGTATTCTGGATTCTTTACGTGCACGATGAGAGATGCAAACTTTTTAGTTCCGCGACGGACGCCGGCGTCCCTCAGTTTTCCCAGGAAGTCGGAGAATCCCGGACAATGTCCCTTAGACAGTCAGGATCACACCAGGTGCACCGTTCGCCTGCTCTCATCGCGGAAACCATGAATTGTATGAATCATCGGTGGAATCGAATGCTCCGACGGAATTCTGAGCAGGTTGAGCTTCTCGAAAAGAGTGAGAAATCGAGGCAATCGTGAAAATCCTGTTGAAGCCGCGAGTCGACTTGACACGGCGCCGCCGCCGGTAGCTCGAGAAAATACAGTGCGAGCACGTGATTGGAATCATTGCCCACGCAAAAAGGGTGTTCGGGGAAACATGCGGAGACTTCCACGCCACCGAGGGAAAGTTCACCCGAAAGAGGGCACGGTGGTTGGACTACAAGTTGTTTCAATCAAAAGAGAAGAACGAGTCGATTGTTCTGAATCGGAACACAATTCACGTTCACAGACTGTGGTTCCGAGCAGACCGTGCGGAGAGTCCTGTATTCTCATTCCGTTTTATGTGGTCCTCCGACGGCCCGATAGGCTGAGGGGGAATTCGATTGAAAAGATAAATTCGAGGATCCAGACGTCTGCTTGGTCTACGGTGGGAGCATTCGGGGAAGACTGCCAGACAGTCTGATCAAGCTCATCGAGCGCAGACCGATCGCACTCGGTCCGAGATATCGAGATGGCCGAGAGTTTCATGTAACCATACAGGGACTCTCAATGAGGGCCCGTGATGGCAGAACAATTCCTTTCCACTTCATCTGAATGCTCCGTTTCATGTCTGACTCCTTACGGAGGGTCAGGGTCAAATGACCAGCGCTACCGTGCTAGAGCCGAAACCTGACTGCGGACGCAGACATGCCCGTTGGAGAGCTTGTTCTGGATATGGGGAAAGCTGCAGGCATGGCTGATCGAGATGTGGAACTTCGAAAACCGCTCCCGCTGCTCTGGAGAAGTTACCAGCGCATATCTTTCCGGTCGAAGCACGTTTGATGTGTCCCGCCGCCTTCTTCGACTCTGTGTGACGAAACACATTTCTGACGCCGGCTTGAATGTTAAACAACCCATGAAAGACGCGTAGGAAGCCTTGGAAGCTCTCTTCCACTGGAAATACCCCGGGAGGCTACAGCTTATATCCATTCGTATCCGAAATGCCTAGACATCTGAGCTCACGCTCTCCTTCGGAGCAAAACCATCTCGCTATTTCTCGCCTTTCCCTCTTCCGAGAGTAGATAAGCTATGCACTTGAGTCGGTGGTGATATGCTGCTTTGAGGATTCGACCGCCACGGTATCTCTGTTGTTCTTCTACGATGAGGCTTCCATTCTGGGTTTTCGTAAGATTCCGCCGAGTGCTTATCCTGTCGCTTGGATTGAGCTGTTCATCGGGACGAAAATGATGAAAATATGCTCAAGTGGATTTATCCGAAGAGGCGGACCTGTCATCCTTGATTGATCGCTGTCTCGTTGGTTGAAAATAAGGGCTATGTAGCGGCTTTGGGACCTGGACAAAGTGTACCAAAGACTTGCTGAACAGCGCATCGCTGCGAAGCTCCCTCAACGATAATAATCACTTGCCTGAATAGGACAAATTAGGCTCAGACACAGGGAGAGAAGGAACCGTCGTTTGCGTGAATTCTTCGAAGTCTCGCTTTGCGAGAAACCTGGGGCCGAGTCCTCTGACAGAATTCGCGCGACAATCAACGCCACCGACAGTGGCAGACGCGGGCCGTCATATTTAGAGCGCACCGGACATCGAAGTGTCAAGCGTGGGTAATTACGAGTGTGGCCCATCGTCGGTATTGAGCCGACGAACGAGAGTCCGTCGGGTGCTCGACCCATAGAATCCTTTTCTCGCGCTCGCTCGCTCGCAATCTCTCCCGGTGTGGCTCGGCTGACTCGCATCCGAGCCATCGGAGCGCCAAAATTAGTCCAATCTCAAATGCGTTAATTGAGAGTCAGTTTTAGTCGACCGGCGACGGGCTGATCTGCCAAGAGCCGGAAAGCGACAGAGAGAAAGCGGCGTCCATGTGCCAACAGAGTCCGCCGTCCGAAAATCAATTAGAAAACGGAGACGACTTCCCGAGCCAGAATCGCCCAGCCGATGAAAATTTACTCAGTGCCCCGGAATGAATCTGGCGAACAACTGACTCATTCGTGCGGTCTCCCGGACTCGGACCGATCCTGGATGCGAAGAAGAGAATGGATTGTGCCTCGTTAGATCGCCCTATCGGCACTTTCATCCATGGCAGATGAGAGACCGACAGCAGTCGTCTAGTCCGGCCGGGAGCCCTCGATGGAACAATGTTCCTGAACTCCTCGTACGGGATGAGGGAGGAATGGGAATGAGCCATCCTTGGGAGGGATTCTGCAAGCTTCGACAGCCGAGACATGAATATTTTTGTGGTAGATTCCGCATAGAGAATGAACTTTGCTCGGGTGTCGATGATAGCCCTCCGTAGGGCTCGCGCGGGCGGCATCCCGTGTGATCGACCCAACCTGCTTGCTCGAGTCAGAGGGGGCATTACCGGTGAGGTCCAGCCTCCTGTTCTTACCCCCGAGCTCCCGCGGAAGCTCCGGAAAAGGTTCCCGTCGGGTCTCGCCAAGTTCTATTTATGGCCAGAATGGATGTGAGGGTTTTGGGTCCAGCTCGGTTCTTTCATTCTAATGATCAGTCCAAGGAGACGTCGGATTCGGGACATAGGGATCACAGCCCGTCAGTGGCAGGAAAATTCGGGGAAGGCTACCCATTAGCCCGAAATCCGAAACCGGAACAAGAAGCAAGAGGTGCAACCAGCAACCAGAGACTGCTGAGTGGCTGAGACATACAACCAAATATCAGTCGCAAAGATGAGACGTTCCCGTAGGCGCTCGGTAATGGTGGAATTCGACACCGTTCCGGGGACCGGGAGATCCCCGAATTGGTTCCGAACTATGGACCGTGTTTCCGGCGCGTTCCATATGGAGACACCAGGCTCGGCCTTCGGTTCCTTGGAAGCCGCCCGTTGAGTTGTCGCGAAAAAAGCCTCGCGGCACCACATGTTTTGCAAAGAATGTGGATGCGCTCCACCTGAAGAGCTGCAATGATCTGCATACGCTCAAGTCGTCTCGTTTGATGTGGCTTTGTAGTGCAATAGTTCAGAGGGATGACGTCGTATCCAGCTGATCCGGACGAAAGCTACAGAGGGTTGAGTCACTCATTTGATTCGCAGACGAGGAACGTGATATGCTTCATATTCGTTTCGGACTTGTTCCACAAGCCTTCCTCGTCTGCGGAAGAAGATCAATACTAGACGCCTGCGGCTGTCTCCTGAACTCTCCTCTCCGCTCTCCTGGAGCTAGCCCATGACCCAGAAGGTGTACCGCCGAGTCTCGATGAAGTTTCGTGGGCCGAGAGCGGAAGGAGAAAAGAGGAGAGCGGGTGGGTTCCATTCACGGAGCTCATCCGCTCGCCTGTTCACTGAGTAGGGCACGCGAGCCGTGAGCGACCAGATGTTCAGGAGGCCTCACGAACGAGCATCCATTCAGATGAGCTTCGTTCGAGTACGGCGTTGTATCGAAGCTGCAGCCGAATTACTGACTACACTTATTATGTGGAGAACAGCAACTAATATTTTTCTCCTCTTTCTCTCTGACAACACGAGGAGAGCTCTGAGTGAAATGCACAGATTTGGCTCATTATAGCCCGTCAGTGCTTCATCGGACGAGAAGAATCATCAATGGGAATCCCCGGTAGGATTCTTCCACCAAGAATCCCGGAAAGAAAACGGTGCCAAATTCTTCCCTTGTCGATGTTCCATTTCCTGGACCTTCTCACGAGTGGGGACCCCTGATTCCCACTGCCTCGAATTGATCTTGATCTGGCGTCGAATGTTCCGGCATATGTGGTGCTTGTGAATGGACATAAATGAACTCGGAGAGTCTCTGTGGTTTGCCGATGTCCAATTGAGCTAATTCTTTAGATTAATGGTTCTGGCGCTAACCCGTTCCCTTGTAATGCCTACAATCACGATGAGCGTACGCTCAAATCAGTCGGAGTTCTATCATTTCAGCCGCCTGTGCGACGGCCGGGTGGAAGTTCAACGCGACCGTAGACCGGCATTCTGAAAGGCGGAATCCCAGTCAGACTGGGAATTAACGCGCGCTATATAATATATCAATCTTGATGGAGTCAGAAAGAAGTTTTCAATTACGAAAAGGGAGCCGACCCAACTCTCGACTCGTCCCTCGGTCTTTCCCACGAGGCCAGTTTCGAGAGGCGGATCAAAGGAGGCATTTGTCATGCAGAGATTGCCAGATGCACATTTTGCCGAATCATCGAGCGACCCGCGACCTTCCCGCGGGTAATAACCACAGTGGAGACGAACTCAGAAGTCTCTCCGGGAATTTTGACTTCACTGTATTCTGGACGAGGGGATCGGAGCCGGCCGGATATTTATGAAAGCATCGAAGCCATCGCTCCGGCCGGCCGGGGCGCGGAGCAATAAATGCAACATCTGCCACTACCTCGGAATAGGTGAACGCATCGAAAACCTTTTTTCGGAAATCCTCGTGACCCTCGCATCGATCTCTCGGGGTCCTATTGTCGCAGGGAGAGAATGGACGAAATTCGAGTCCTATACACTTGGAATCATTGAGGAGCCGCGAGAAGGATCGAGGAATACCGGTGCCGCCATCCGTTCGGGATGGGACCAAAGGAATGATGGCAAGAGACTTGCATAGGGTATTTTATGCAAGCTCGAGGGGCGGTGACGATTCTTTCCCCATGCTGTTGAGGATAGGTTATCTGAGATTAATCCGGAATGAGGATTCCTGCGACAGTTGATCCGCGCATTTCCTCGAGCTATGTACGTCGAGACTGCCCTTGGGTTCCGAAAAAACTGCGACAAGTCCGCGAGAGTTCAACACTGAACCTCCGTATCTCACCTGCTGAGTGGACCGATGTCACGGGGAATCCGAAGACCGCGACCAAAGCTATCAACAGAGTGCTGACCGGTCCAGTCATCTTTGTGTCATAAGTCACGTTTTTATTGTCATTCTGAAGTAATCCACTGAGCTTATCACTTTCGGGTACGTCTCACAAAAATCACTCCACAACGTTTTACAGCACGCACATCCGATATCGTCCGATTGTCATTAAGCCTTCAACAGTTTCTTTGTTTTGAAAGAGTTCCCACTGGTAACAGTTTCCCCCGGCCGGTCACTCTGACTCACCCATCGCGCTCTGGGGCTCGCAGTGCTCTGAGCAATGGTTCAGTTCGCGCGCCGCAGTTCCCGGAGAATCCGCCAGGGGAACGCGAGTCGACCATGTGCTTGGACGAAATGTTGGACTCATGTTAGGGACATGAGTTCCCAAATTTGGAAACGGGGACTCCGTATGAGGTCCGAACATGATGAATCAGGGTCGGTCCTCGGGCATTCGTTTCATGAAAACAGAATTGAACGTATTGATAAATACGAGCAGACGGTTCGACATCGGCTCCCTTCTTGAAGGCAGGGGGTGACATCGGGAGGCACAGGAGCGCCAATCCTCGGGGGAGGGGCGTACCAGCCCGCGGTTCAGCTCCATCGAGGAACCTGGTACCATGGGTTCGAAACGGAGAAAATTGTCGAGGAAAACCTTGATCTTTCTTTTATTCCCACCGTTCCCATGTACAAGCTCCGCGTACGAGATTCGCAGTCGATGATTCGGCTCCTTTCCGGACACCAGGGGCGGAGCTTCTTTAGGTTTCGGCGGAATTTTGCCGGGGGAAATGACAAAGGGGGCAGTTCGAGAACGGAAGGATCTCATTTTGGAGAGCGGAGTGCCGACATTGTCCGCAACGCCAGACGCGGTCCGGGTCTGTGATCACGGCACCTGATGCCACACAAAGAGGATACCGGATTCCGCATGTCGGGCAGAGTGTTATCCTGAAATTCGGAGGGCGATTCAGTCGCGTCGAAGAATGTGTGGAATCGGTGGCAACCTCGACGTTGGAAGTCACTTGTTCCCCTTTTCGAACTAATGCTAAAACTTCAGCTCACCCATCTGGTAGGGGGATTCCGCAGCTGTTGCAGACCGAGTTCTCAACTTTGTTTTGTTTGGGGACGTTTTTAGAGAAGATCCGGATGGCGGCGTCCTCGAGTTTCTCGCGTTCAGCCGTTGAAAACCCTTCGTCTGTTTCGAGATAAGTGAAAGCCCTAGAACAATGGCCCCAGGCTCGGCACATGAGTGACGATAAAGCTGCAACGAAATTTTCACGGATACATAAGAGTTTCCCTTGCATTCCCCGATTCGCAAAAATCATTTGTGGCTCTCTCGATCCTCGCTGGATAGAACTGTGGCAATTTCTTCGTCAGTGTCGATGAATTCCGATCATTGAACGGCTCTCACCTATGAGGGAATAAACGGCCCTCGGCTCCAGGATTTCATCGTACTCCGAGAGATGAAGCGACGTCACTAGAGCTTGCTCATATTTCTCCTTGTGAAATTGACGTTGCGCCAAGGACAAGAAATGATAGGCCTGGATCAGACAAATCGAACATTCTTAGAGACATACTCTTAGAAGAGGAAGGAAAACCTTCCGTGGGTCCCGCCGAATAGCTCAGTCGCATCGATTCAGGAAATCTGAGCTCTGATACCCCTGAACGCTATTCCTCCACCTGAGCGTATCTCCACAAGTTGTCTTCTCCAACCAACATGAGCGATTCGGTCTTTCCGGATCGGCCCTGATCTGCCAACATGGCGGCGAGGACGTATATCTGTTTCCGGAGGACACTGCCCTGGATCTTGTTCGACCTCCCAAGCTGGTTGAGGAGCCGTGCGGCATCTTTGAAACGAGCGGCTCGTCTGCGGGGGAGAGAGCTCACGGTCAGGGGATGATGCATCGCGATTGTCTTAGGAAGAAGAGAGCGTGCGGGAGAATTCCAGCTCCTCGTTCGTCAACTCGATGCAGTTTCGAAAAAATCGCGAAAGCTCACAAACGCTCCCGTGTGCGATTCTCCATGTTTCGCAGTTACTGTCTATCGGAGCGAATAGATCATAAGCTCGGCTCTCATTGGCCCACCTGTATAGCTCGACGGCACTGAGGATATTGTTGTTCTCGATAAACTGCCGGGCATACTTTGCCAGCAAGCCGCTTACGTCTGCGACCTGGCCGTGATCTCGGGCCAACTCTATGGCGGTTTTCCACTCGTTGAGCTCGATGCATACCTCCATCGCTCGGGTGTGAGCTCCGCTCTGAAAACAAACACACTTAGAATTTCCCCCATGCGGATACGAAGCCCAAGGAGCCCTCTGAGCTCTTTCTCTGTGAGCGGAGCCCCATGCCCCATAGAGTGCGAGGCTAGCCATCGCGCGCTATGAATACGCTCGGAATGCTTACGTTCACGAAACAATGAACAGCTTCGTCGCACATCCCAACGGATTCGTACATCTCGCCGATTTTGAGCAGAAGTTCCTTGTCCTGCACCTCTTCGACGACTTTCCAGAGAGCATCGAAATCTTCCATCATGTACCGGGCCGTCGCCAGCCCGGCGGAGTTGTGGCTCTTCTCAAAGCAGTGAATTGCTTTCTCCCTGCATGGAGCAAAGAATGAGTCGCAAAATCATCAGAACCATAGTACATAGGTATGTGCCTAGGTAAATTCAGGGAAAATATCAGAGAGGAGAGTGAAGAGTGAATGAATTATGCGAAACCCGATCTTCCCGACCGGAGGGTTCACCATTGACCGTTCTCCAAGTAGAGTTGACCCAAGTTGCTGTAGGCGTTCTCCACGATGGCAACATTGCTCTCGTTGGATACGAGGGCCAGTTCGATGACGCGTTCCCAATTGCCCACGGTCGAATGCATCTCCAAAGCGAGATCGCTGCATCGGGAATGTGAGAAGAAGTCTTACCGTCCGATCGAAGAAATCATCAGCTCCTATAAGAGTTTGATGATTGCTTACACTCGGTCGTTGTTGATATAGGTTTGCTCAGCCTCATCGAAATCGGCGAAATAGGCAAGGACTTCGGCCTCTCTGAGCTCTCGGCTCTGGAGCTTCTGAATTCTCCGACAGAAGAGGATCGCATCCCAGTCTTTGCATCGAACCATGGCCATCTCCGCCGCATCCAGATCGCCCTCTATCATGTAATGCTTCGCCATCTCTCGCCTGCGGTGGGTTCGAACAGGAACAAGGTTATCTGGTTGAGGAGTTGACCATTCCCTGGCAAGCAAGAACGACTGAGCTCTGTCTGTCGACTGATTCCCCGAGAGGGAGTTCATCAGAGTACCCACCAGAGTATGGTGTTGGAATCATTGTCCTCAATGAATTGTACCACATCGGCTATCGCTGTCTTATCAATGAGCTCGCGGAGTTGTTTCAAGAGACACGTGTCCTCCACAATAACATGCGTTCGAAGGGCCAAGGACGAAGGGTTCGTCATGATTTCATCGAGGAGAACGCACTTGACCCGCATGTTCTCCAAAACACAGATGTACCCGGAGCAAGTCATGGCGTCCTCGGTTTCCATTTTGTGAACGACCACAAGCCGGGTTTTCTCCATGTATGCGAAAAGATCCGGGTCATCCTGGAAGATGGACGGGGAATCTCAGGGAACGCGTTCGAAAAGGAATGTAGGTTCTACGCCCCGAATCCGAATATCCAAATGTCTACAAAGAATGAGACGCCCAATGTGTGCCACGGCCGATTCTGGTGTGCCGGGGCGGAAGGGAGAAGCTCGAGGAAAAATCGATTCCGTTTAACAAGTTGAGATTCGAGCCAGCTCCCCACTCGCGTTTGAAATTTCCCGCGCTCACAGAGGGCGCGCGAGCTTGTAAACATAAGACAACGGTCCACATGAGCCCTCCGTACACAGTGTATGGAGCCGTCTCGGGACGGATCTTGCTCAGAGAACATGCTCGATGCCGGTCAGAAATCGGACCCAACCAGTGTCTACAGCTAGTGTCCCCCGCGGGTTTTGTTCGAAGCCCCCGAAACGAATACGGAAGAAGCCCTGACATCGATTGGGGTCCCTTCCGTTCCTTGACATTTAGTGAGCCACTTTCCGCCGGCTGGACCGGCTCTCCTGGATTCATCGATCAGCTGACTTTACGCGCCGCTCAGGAACATGGATGTGTATCGACCCCAGATCATTCTGGGTGTGGGACTCTCCAGTGCTTATACGATTTGGTACGCTTATCGAACATGGAGCCACCATCGAAGCCGTTGCGGCTTCTGTCAGCCGGAGACACACACCGCTCATGGCTTTATCGTAGCTTCGCAAGAAAAATGGTATGCATGTTCGGCGGAGGTGTTGGACAGAATCGAGTCTTCCAAGTTGATCGCCGTCGACTGTTTCTGGGTCGGAAGTGTCTTGACACGGCGAAAAATTGCGCTTCTCGCTTTCTGCACCAGCGCCGAACGAATCACTTTCGTCCGGCTCTCAGAGCTCGGCGAGTTCCCGGAGGAGCTCGCAGCTGTTTTCCGTGACCCGACGATCATTAAAGTCGGAATCGACATTCTCGCGCATGCGGCGAAGCTATACGAAGATTACGGAATCGAAACCTACGGTTGTGTCGATCTCCGCTACATGGCCATGGCGACGCCGGCGGCCAAGAGAAAACTTCTACGCGCCGATAGTGATCTCTCTCTGATTTCGATGATGAATGTCCTGCTCGATGCGAATCTAAGCCGAGACTACAGAATGCTCTACTCCCGGTGGGAGGCACGGCATCTCTCCCGAGATCAAATCTACTACGTCACCGGCCAGGTCATAGGGGCGTTTGGGTTGGCGGTGAAAATCGCGCAATCGAACGATTGGGTTGCGAATGCGATCGGATATCTCCTGAAGCCCTATCTTTGGCTCGACCACTTCATCAAGATTCATTATGCGTCGTACATCGACCTGAAATTTAGCCGGGACCGAATATGTCGGCACGCCGTGCCGTCGAAACCGCCGAAACCGGACGAGAAAACCTTGAGAAGCTACAACACTCTCAAGACGCCTCTGTACGATAATTGTGTTCTCCTCTGTCCCGACATGGAGCACCTCTGCACGTGTGACAGACGGAAAGCGCAATGGTATCTCGACACCGATCTGGCCGAGAAAGTTAAGGACGACCCGCTCACCGTGCGCTTGAGATTTGAGCCGGCGCAACGAGCCATCTTGGACGCGCAGTATTACTGCTTGGTCAAACACAATATATGCGTCGTCTGTGGCTCACCGGAGAACCTCGTCCGGAAGTATGTCGTGCCCCGCGAGTACCGGAAACACTTTCCCAAAATCATGAAGCACCACAATGCGCACGACGTAGTTCTCACCTGTTTGGCCTGTCATGCCCAGTACTGCTGGTACGAGGATTTGTTCAAGGAGCAGTTCGCTAAACATTGTAATGCCCCTCTCAGTGAGGCGTCTCGGAAGTTCATCGACAACAAAGCTCTCAGAGAGATCCAGAGGGCCGCGAACGCCCTTTTGAAAGTCAAAGACAATCTCCCTGAAGAAAGACGTCAAGCCCTCGAGGACCTTCTTAAGGAGCATTTCGAAGTGAACGAGCTCACAGACGAGTTAGTCGACTATGCGGCGGGCATTGACTTCCGGGAAGCGAATGTTGATTTCGTCAGCCACGGGAAGAAGGTGGTAGACCATTTCGCCGAGGAGTCTGGTTTGTTGGTACTCGAGACCATGTGGCGGGAGTATTTCATAACGAAAATGAATCCGTCCTATCTGCCCGACATGTGGTCTCCGGACCATCATCACGATATACTCGCGGTGAAACTGAGTTTTATCGAGAGAGAAGATCCTCGAGAGGCAGAATCTCTTCGGAGGAAATTGGGAATCACTCCAGAGCAACTGCACGACATAGTCGAGCGACTCAAGCATGAAGACAACGTGAATTTCAATCGAATCAACTTTCAGAGAGGACGACTTTTAGAAAGGCAGTCGTGAGAGATTCCGCAGTGCTACTGAGAAACTTATAACGAAATGGCTACTTGTTGTTAATTTGTATAAATAAAGCCACATTTATGTTTGTTGAACGAAATCTGTGTAATTCGGGAGCCCTGTTTCTGAATGGACATCTTCATGGATGGAATTCGATACCACCGGGTGGTATACTCCTCACTGAACTCATGAAGTAGAAATTATTGGCAATCGTTTCCCGGATCAATCGGAATCGCGCCACTCTAACCCCGACAGGGAAAATTCAGATGAATACTCGCAGAGGTTGAGTGCATTACAAACGATCCATTCAGAACAATCGGGAAGGAAACGCTTACCCGAGCCCAGCGGATGTCCCAAACGTCTCGACGTTGAAAATCGATGTCTTTCGCAACTCCCGACTCAGCCTTGATGTCGTAGAAATGCAAGACACCTGACATATCAATTATAGACATCACCCTAGAAAATGGATCGGTTAGGATGAAAAGGTGACCAATATCCAATTTTCAGATACATTAGGGATATTGGCAATCTCAAAGTCTCTTGCGGAAGGCTTAACTAATTGGATTCTAGCTAGCCGCTGGAATCCATCGCTTGTGCCAAATCAAGTATATAGTCTCAAATCGAATCATGATAAAACGTAGAACGAACTACTTTGAACAAAGGGTTGATTAGTATCGGTCTATCTCCATGGTATCTGAAAACGTTCGTCGAAATGCCGTACTCACGTGACATCGCAATTGAGAGCTATCATTTTCGGTCGCACATTCAAGCTGTATCGATGAGAAACGGAGACATTTGGAAGGGTATATCGTTTGATGAGCCCGGACTCAAACGCCTAGGTTTCAAGACTCCGATTCAGACTCCACACTCGTCAGCCATCCGTAGCATAACGCGATCTGCATCTATACATAGAACTGACCACTAACAAAGTTCCTTTTCCGGCAGCCAAACAACAGATTTCTTCAGGGCCCGAGTTGAGAGCGAATTTGGATTCCGCCTCCGACGAGATTTTCGAAATGCTGAAAAATCCACGTGTTCCTTATCATTTCTCCATCCGGACAAGGCTTCTTAGGGCTCTGAACGGGCACCGAGAGATCGGATCGACAGAAACCTTTTCTGTAGCGTCTTCCCTTGTGCCTCGATGCGCTGCTCGGTGTCATGGAAATGCCAAACATAGAGATCGTAATGCGAGGCGATCGCGACGACATTCCCCGCCATAGCTAGCTTCACCGGCTCGCTTTCGATGATGATCTGATCTACGAGAGCTCCGATGTCGTCCCAGACCTCGACATTGTACTGCGGAAGAATCGGTCCAATAGTGAATTCAACATCTGCTCACCGCTGCTTTCGGAAGACGAACTCGACGCCGATTCCCGCTCCTCGAGAATGGAGCTCACCTGATCTGGGATTCCTGCGATGTTTTTCGACGCAACGGCCGCGTATTCCTGCGAGGACCCGATACAGAGAACTCCCCGACGGAAATTTATGTGTTTCTGAAAAGAAGACCAGGTCAGCTATCCGTGCTCTATCCACCTCATTGCAACATCATCATTATCATGCGTTTTGGGGGTTATCGTCGTGAGAGGCACAGAGCTCAGCGGTGGAACAAAGAGTGATTCTGACCTGCTCGGTTTTGGTGTCCCACAAAGTGAAGCACTGCTCGGCTCGATCTGGTTTCGAATGGGTGAAAAGTACTGAGTCCCCGAAGTAAGTCCATGTATAGTCCGGTCTGACGTTGACGAAATAAACGAAGGAGTCCACCGAGATCGCGAGTCGGAGACCGGTCCCTTCCCACGTACAGCCTGTGGAACAAGCGGAATCCAACTCGAAAAACTCGCTCTCGGTTGTGATCTCCGATATCCGGAGGTTCCCGTGGTGGAACCATCGGGTGAGCTCACTCGGGCGAAAACACGTGTCATGATATTTTTGTTGTATGCCAAACCTGTGATGTGCTTCCCGGGTACGACTAGCGTGTGGAGGTAGTTCCCCTGGTTGCTGAACAACTTGATTACGTTCCGTTTATCGGGGTCCCTGGTCTGGAGGAGACGACCGATGACTGCAATCATGTTACCCTGAGGCGACCACTCGATGCCGGCAATCATCATGTCGCAATCAATGACGATCGGGGCTGGAAGACATCGATGGGTTCTCTCATCTGAATGTTGTTATATCGTATCTGCCTGGCGCATGGGAGCGTATATTGTGGGCGAATGGCAACTCGCTGGGCAATTCGCACGGCTTGTATATCGAGGGGCGTCGCCGAGCCCCGCAGGAGACTGATGACCGAACTCACATGGATCGACTTCTTTCTTGAGGAGTTGTAAATGACCATCATCTGTGACGATGGCTAGGGTGTGATAATCGCTTTCGTGGCCGGGTCGTTCCGGTGGACCTTTCTTGAACCATTTTATCATGGAAACGATGGAGCTCGGGGTCGGACTGTTGACACTCATCCTCGACTGGGGTATTGCAGAGGGAGAAAGGAAGAGTCGAGTCCCATCCGAAACGGAAATATGTCGTCCGTCAGGGCCCGGAGAATCTCCTGAACACTCACCACGAAATTTCCCGCTTGGTCATAGATGTGGACTTCACCAGATCTGAGTCCAAATAGAAGTAATCGTCCGTCCGCTGACCACTGTGAACGTCACGGCCTCTTTCTTGAATAATATCACCGGTCATGAGTTCATGGGACCGAAATTTTCCGGCTCTTACAGAATTAAAAATCAAAACTATCTGCCTAGGAGCCTCGCATCCGCGCTAGTGCCCGGACTGACCTCGACGATCTGCAGCGATACTCCCTTGAGTTCCTTGCCCCAGAGGCGATTGCCGTCGACGGAACCCACAATTATAGCTCCGTCGTCGTATATAATGCAAATTTTCAAACCATCCCCCGACCACGACATTCCCCGGACGACGCTTTTGTTCCTATTGTTGATCATCTCCTCACACCAAGAGCCCTTATGCAGCATCCAAACGATGATGAGACCGGATGAGTCAGAAGTGGTGAGCCGCTGATGTTTCTCGTTCCAAACCATCATCTGAACAGATCCTGGGTGAACGCAATAGCAATCATCGGATGTGTCGACATGGATTCCATGAGCGAGAGACGCAAGGAATATATGTGCCCAAATATCCTAGGTACCACTGTGTCCGTCCAGAGTCTGATTCATTGAAAGATTCGAAGGAGCCACCAAGCCATCTTTCGAAGTCTCGAGTTTCAGAACCTTGAGAAGACCTTCATCACCACCGACGGCGATGTAGCCATCATCATAATTCCACGAGATGCATCTCAAGTTCACTTGATTCGGGATGGCGATCTGGGATAAGAGTGTGGGATAGGCTCGGCGAAATTTCTCCTGGATTTCTCCATGGACAAGATCTTTATATATTGAAGCACATATATGGTATTGAGATATTGAATCACGATTCTCCAATAACTGGGCGAATACCTTTTTACTCAAATAGATGAACATTTTGAACTCTGAAGCCTCTGTTTTGCTCGTGGTTCTGACCAGCCGACGGAATCGGCATCGTTTCTATGGGAACCGCGATACAGACTGTCCTCAGATCTCGAGGGAGCGGACGCATGCCGGCCGATGAAAATTCGAGACCTCGTCGCGCAGAATGTCTGAATGAGCCGTATCTGTTTGCCTGGCCCGCCCCGTGGAGAGCGCCTGGTATTGAAAAAGCTAGAGCTCAGCTCGATCGGTATCGGGTCAATTTTATTTATCCATTCCTGAGCAATAGATCGCAGTGATCTCCATCTTCCGGCAATTTTTTTAAATACATGATGCGACAGAAATAAATATCGACCTCACCGGCGCCCCGCTAATAAATACATCATTTCCTTGCAGCTAGCCTGCTTCCATATCTTCCGAAGTTTGAAGACGTGTCGCGAACTTCCGTGGTGCCCGCACGTATTTGTAGGTGTATACAACATGAACTATGATTTCGTCCGCGGGAAAGACTGAGATGCGACTCGCTAACTTGTTATCGACAACCTCGCGAGACATCGAGCGCTTCAGCGCGTCGACGATTTCGGAGGTTCACTCGAAGTTTCCTTTCCTGAATCCCCGCTTTCCTTCGAGTCTTTTCCGTCTTCCTTGCCCTCCTTCGTGATATCGAAGTTCAGCTTGTTCGTGGGCTTGGTCCCGAGCTTCTTCTGCAGTTCCTGTTCGCTTCCGATGAATTGTATTTCGGCATCTTTGAACAGTTTGTTGAATTCGTCAACGGTCATCCTGATGTAGCCCGGAGGTGGATCGTGATGCGCTGGGGCGTAGTACGCGTGGTAGAGCTGCGCGTTGCCTGTTGCGCTGTTCGCTTCACCTTCCTTGGTCTGTATCGGCTGGAAATGGATCGCTCCCGCTCCTGCGGAAATGTCGTCTTCGTCTTGATTGGCCTGCTTGGCGGCTTCGCTGGCTTTCTTCGTTGTGATGTCGGGTCGGAACACCGGTTGAGGGAGGCTCTCGACCGGTCCACTGGACTTGGTTTTGGTTTTGAGGGAATTTAAGTCTGAGGCCATCATCGGGATTCCAGGTTTGGCGTCTTGGATCAGAATGTCTTCAGGACCCACGGTTTGCGGACCTTCGGTAGATGTCGTAGGGTTCAGGAAAGGATCGTCGACAGGCCATTGAGGCGCTTGGGTTGTTGTCGGTGCGGTTGTGGTCTTTCGGCCAAATATATCGTCGTAGTACTCCGCGTTGCTCAAGTCCGGCTTGTCGGCCGGAGTTTCGTCGAGATTCTGGAGAGGATCCACAGTCACCGGACGGGGTTTGGTGTCGGCCCCCAGCTCGGCTTCGAGGGAGAGAGCTGGAACGATTCAAGATTTGTTCAATTTCGGTTCATTCGCCAAGAGCGGATCAGTACCAGACGCGGAGGATGGTAAGAACAACATCACATCGGGAGATGGAATTGAGAGCGAACAGATCGACGAGTCATAACTTTATTAATTACTGTACACACCTGGATGGCCATCAAGCAACATGCTTACAAAACAACACAAACACGAACAGCACACAGGAGGGGGGATTTTATCTACAACGCCAGCACCGCACCGGAGACACCAGGCGGAACGCAGTCCACATATCGGCACAGCATCATGACGGCACACATTGATTCGCGAGGAAGTAGCTCGAGCTCGAGAGCATTCAAATATACGGAGAAGACTCACCGGGACCTTGATTGGGCTTGGTATCGAGGTGCACCTTTGCATCGAGAGTTGATTCTCTATGCGAAGTGTGATGAGAACTATGGTCTTGGAACTCGCTTACTGTGTGCTCTGGAGGTGCCAGAAGGATTTCCGGTCCCGGAAGAGCCGCTGGCGGGATGTGGACGGTTGGGACGGGAGTGGGTCTCCTCTTCTTCTTCTTGTGGTGGTGGTGGATGTGAACGTGTTCTTGCGGGAACATCGATGGGTGGTGATCTTTTTCCACTGTATGCTCGGCGGCTTTCTCCGCATTGGACAATTTAGTCCCTGTCAGCGGCGGCAAAGGCTACAAAGAGATCGTTCACATCAGTCTTCACCTTCCAAATGGCTCGCACTGCTCTCACGACCTTTAGTTCTGAGGAATTCATCATGCGGGGACGAGTTAATTAAGAAATCTCTGAATAAGCCGCTCCAGCAGGTCTAGCCGGACTGCGAAAGGCTGCAGAGGAGGATTACTCCAGGTGGGATTCGGGGGGGGGCGGCTTACCTTCCTTCTTTTTCGAGTCGTAACCGAGGTAACAGTGTGAGGTCTTTGGAAGCCTTCTGAGTTAAGATGCACACCATCATGGCCATGGGAAACGATGTCTACATGACTGTGACTAGTAGCTATGGGAGTCGCCTAGCACCACATGCAAGCAATTACGATCGAGCTATTAGCACGGAGCCACGGATTCTGCTCGGTTGGCCTATGAAACCCCTCGAACTCGTACGATCATACTCTCTTCACGAAATTCCTGACCGAATAACAGGCTCCCCCTAATTAGCTCAGCACCGTTAAGAGGATTACGTCATCGAGGGTGATGACACTAGAACCAAGTGAACTCACCTTGCTCCTCGTTATTCCGCTGAAGGATTTCGGTGGAGGAGGCGGGAGAGAACCGAAACTCACGGGAGGCGACGCCAAAGGTTTCACGTGGAAATCCGGTAGGGGGGCGGGATCTCTGTGAGATTTCGGTGGCTCTACGTAGGGAGGTGGCAGATCGATGGAGGGGGCGACCGCCTCCACGGGATCCATGGGAGAGTTCTGTTTTTTTCCGGAGAGAATCTCCGCGATCAGTAGCGCTGTCTCCGGCGAGAGATCCGGAGGGAATTGCCCCGTTCGTTGGAATTGACTGAGAATCTCGTCGATGACGCGAGGAGGCGGCGGGCGGAGATTCCGTTTCGGAGGCTGAACTTGTTCGGGACGTTTCACGGGACGCGTGGGAACTGGCGGCAAGACTGCTGGCTCGGAAACGAACTGCGGGGGGGACCCGAATTCTTGGGGTGGGAGCGGTTTCTGGAACTCGATCGCGGGAACCTTGTCAAAATTTGTGATGGGAGGATGGGATTGAGGCACGAAGGTCTGGAGACCTTGGAATCCATTCGTCTGGAACGAGTTCTGTGGGATGCTCTGTGCGAAATTGAAGCTATCGATTGAGCTTTGAGCTTCATACGGTATGTTTTGGTTAACGAAACCGAAAGGTCCCCCGGACGGCTTCGGCACCGGCTGCCTTCGTCGGAACGGGTTCCAGATCTGTCGTTTCACCCTCGATCTGACTTCGGGTTTCTCGGGTTTAACCGCGGCCTGCGCGATATCGCTGAGCACACCCTTGATCCCTCCGGGACTAAGGAAATGCGGTTGCTCTTTGGATGCATCTGACTCCTGGTCGGGTGTCGATGATTTCGCCGCCGATTGCTTCACCAACGCCTCCAGGATTTCTTTCTCGACGGCCGCTGCACCGGCGGGACTGAGAAAATGAGGTCCTGCCGGGATCTCGCTGTGGGCTGCGTGAGTCTTCTGAGGATCTTCGGAAGCCGTTGCGGACTCTGCAGCTCTCTGGGCGACGAGTGCCTCGGCAAGTTTTTTCGCAGGCCGATAATCGCTTTCGGACTCAAGAAATGAGGTTCTTCGTCGTCTGGGTTGATTCTGTCGATTTTAGCCTGATCCAGCGCGTCGTCTCTGGCAGCTTCAGGAGTTTCGGCTGATCCAGCAGCCGCAGACGCGGATATCTGATTGGCCTCTCTTCTGCCTCTTTTGATGGTATGTCGGTCGAACTTTTTCTGCTTGAATGCGTCAGTGATGCTAATAATATCTTCTTGATGAGACCCAAGCCGCTGAGGATTGTCCATTGACGAAGCCGAAGGGGCTGATCGGACGCGACGAGCAGCTGCGAAATGTCGATGAGACTTTCAGAGAATGATTCGAGACCGGGCTAAATTTAGACCACTTGATAGGAAAGAGAGCTCGGCGCAGCTGAGCGCGCTTCGAGAAACGAGAGCGTTGCAGAAGCGCCCGCGCTCAACTCTGTGTCCTTGACGGCTTCTGGATCAGATAAAAAGGTATACCTCTGTTGTGGAAGAGCATCGGTTGGAATCCGCAGCCTCCACACTCAGGTCCGCTCTTCAGGAAGTCCTCCAGAGCCCGTGCATGGGAGAGTTTCGATGAGGAGGCTTCCAGGTCGCCATCTCCGCTGACCTGGAAGAAGACGACTCGTTGATGAGACTGCTCACGAGTTGATCACCTATTCGACGAATGGCGATGCTTCAGACTCCCTGAAACATGGCAGTCACGGCGGAAGCCCGGAAGGGAAAAACCCGGCGAAAAGCGAGCTTCTTAGGATCATGCCCGCTTGAAGACGGTGAAGCTAGAAAACGGGAAGGAACGCTGCTCCGTGCCGACGGAAATCGAAAAAATGAGACTTTCTCAAATGATTGAGTGCTGAACTGCCACCGACTGAGATTGATTACACTCCGATGAACTTCGGTAGCACCTCTGTCCCGCTTGGCCCATCTTCGACAGCTTCATTACTATGTAGGTCGGAAGTAGCGTACGCACGAAACAGCGGATCGTCTATGACTCCGTCAAGGAACCGAATGGGACACATTCTTGAATGATTCATGCCATTTCGCAGTAGGGGATACTCTGTCGGTCCGTCTTCGGTAGCTCTTTCGCCGCGGGTATGAAACCGACGAAGGAGCCCGGAGCATTCTGTTACCAATTCGTTCTGGACCCGGACGACTGGGAAGAGGGGCGTTCCGCGTGTATAGACCACTCCCTGCATGGGCATATCGGAGCTTAGTTGGATTAGATAATTTTGAACGCCACGCCCGCCGATGGCCATCATCTTCACACACACACGACGCGAGATAGTAGTAGTCGGTGTTATGAGCCAAAGCGGAAAGTAATCAAACACTTTGTTGCGAGGAAAGTCGTGAATACGGCAAGACAGCTTCCCGAAGGATGCTCTATCCTGAATGGAGGCGTCTATCGGCCAGGGAGCTCATTCG